GCAGAGGGAGCAGCAGCGCCTGCTGCTGCAAGCTGCATCGGCTTGAACGTTGGAAGTGGAGCGACGGGTACGGCAGAGGGACTGGCAGGGCAAGGAGCACCAAATGCAAGGCCGCTGGAACGGTCCAGCGCCGAAGCAGCAACAGTGGCAGAATCGTTGCAGTTGTTGTCTACGATTGGGTCTGAAGAGCTGCTGCACCCGATACTGCAAGCAGTAGATTCTGGCCTACCAGCCTCGCACTGCTGCCTCTGCTGGGGTCTGCGGCTGGTGCTGGTGTGCCGTGAACCGGCCGTCATGCACGCCTCTGGTTCCGTCGCAAGTGAGCTGCCCGCGAAACAGCCGCCCCACGCTCCGTCGTCTGTGCTGCTGCATGGCATCTTTCAGCAGGAGCACCTCCAAGTGCTGCAGTGTGAATCGCTGTAGCTACGGCGCTGGTGGGTCCCTGGCAGAAGCATTCCCCCTGATGTCAGCCTACTGCCGGGACCCGTAGCTAGCCCAGCTCCACACAAAACGAATCAGAAGCACCAGTTCCGGGAGACCAATATGTGCCCTAGGGGCACAACGAAACCTCTAATCAGGAGTGCGCGTTGATGATACCAGTGTTCCTGCAAGAGGTGGCGGCAGTGCTGCCGGGCCTACTCTAGGAGACCTAGGCTATATGCAGCACCCGCTAGTAGGCAGTCAATTACGGCGATGATGTCAGGGAAGAGGGGTGCCTTTTTGGCCAGTCACCTGGATGGCCACCGGTTTATCTTGCGGTCGCTGTCACCGGTAGTGTTGTGTTCACCGTCCGGGGAGTTGCACGGAAGGGGACCGAACTGAGTGAGACACACATCCAGGCATAAAAACACCTAAGGATATAAGAAGGTTACAAAGGAGCCGCCGAATTCACCAGCTGCACCACAAGCATGCCAGAGCCACGGCAACAGCTGCGGTGACAGGAATCGAGCTCATCACTACCGAAGAGACAGCAGCGTCTAATAGACCTCGGGGCGGTAATGCTTCCGGAAAGCCTTTTCCCTGCAATTTTCTGGAGACTGAATGCATTGGAAACTAGCCGAAGACTGCAGCAGCGTGCGCCCGGCTGCTACTGCAATCAAGTAGCTGCTGCAGCAGCTGCTGCAGTTGCTCACGCGGCTGCATGCAGCTCGCCCTACTTCATTTACTCTGGCACGGTTTATTTGCACTGTTTTCACGTTTNGGGCTGCTGTACGAAGCAAGCGCGCCCATCTCAGATGTCGTTTGAACAAATGTAGGTGAACATATCCTTATGTTTTCATGTTTGTGGATTTGACACATGACTCCCTACACCTCCCACGAAGCAGGTGGCTGAGTATTCAGTGCAACGACAGTCGTCGTCCTCAGGCGAGGTCTGTTGAGACCTTCTATACAGTTAAAGCGCTCGATATGAGAGTTCACGAAAAGCGCCTGACCTCGCCTCCGGTCTCCAGGCACCCTGGGAGCAACAGCGCAGGGCCCTGGGGCAGATGAGGGGGCGTCCTGTTATGAGTTGCACCTCACCCTGCTGCAGGTCCTGCAGAGGAACAACGCACGTTTGTTGCTTGTATTAGCACTGTATACAATGGTTAGAGGGTTAGGTTCCCTCACAAGCCAGGCTGCGCGCAAGTAGAGGTGTACATGTGCATTAACTTCAGATGGGCCAAGTTACACTAGACAGTATCGTGGGCCGTCGTGAGCCTCAGTATTCAAGACACTGAGGGTAGCCGCTACCAAGAGGCAGATGACATCCACATGTCTCGATATTTCCTGAGCACATCGTCAGAGGGTACTAGGGCTGCGATGGAAATGAAGCGACGCTGTTGATGCAATGCTCGCCTTGCTATTTCCAATTCGGGAGGGCTGCATGTTTCTTTTGTATTTCTTCGTTTGCTCACCAGCAGAATGCAAATATCAACATTAGAAAAGCTCGCTTTCTTCCGAGCGCGTGTTCAGCTAACGAATCATAATTGTGTTGCAGGTGCTCCCGATGTGTCTCCCTCTTACTTTGTAATGAGTGGCGATGTAGTTCTTAGGTTTGAGTGTCAGATGATACTGTCGTACTCTGGTGTCTTGCAATGTACGTCCTGTTGCTCACTGCCATTTTTGAGTGCTTTCACCTATATTAGCGAGCAAGCACAGATAGAGAATCGCCCATGTCCACTCCTTGCTTCCCTATGCTTGCTGCCTTTTCACTCGGCCTCATGGCATGGTCTCAAGAACGCCAGCAGCGGACTTTTCTCGCCTACATGTGCTGCGTAAGGATATATCACCTCTTTAACACAGCTTCTGCCTCAGCCTGTCACACATCCTAGGAACTCTTCTGTATGCAGATTAACCCTGAATATCTGCTCTAGGTACCTAGCCTGGCATCCAACATCCTGTTGCAAATTGGACTGTTGTATACGCCCTGCAGCTGCTGCAGTATTTGCTGGGCAAAAGCTAAATCGCCCCGCGTTCCACGGAAAGGTCTGCTAGTTGAAGTAGTACAAGGCATGAGATGCCGGAGGTCACGTTCCCTCCCTAGCAGAACAGAAGTAGTTTCCTCCTCGAACTAAGGAGTAAGGTAGAACATGTACGACACGGAGAATGCGACGGTGACGCAATATGCTGACGAGCCAGAGTGTCTGTCGCTTGGAATGAATGAACTGCACCCGATACTTCTTTTTATAAAGGGCAGCACAAAGTCAAGAAGCTGGACACAATTGACTATGATGTTTGCAGCAGAAGGTGCAATAACAGTACTCCATGCTGACTGCAGGAGATGAGGGTCGTTTCAGCTGTTATTTTTTGTGCGGATGTAACTTTATCGATGACTAATCAGTGGCTACCTGTTCCAACAACCGGAAGTGCACAAATATCGTACACTATCACAATGTAGTCGATCAGGAGGGGTGGCGAAGCGTCGCAGTGGTTCGTCAGACGACGCTTGCAATCATTCCTTGTGCGCTTGCAATATTGAACACATGAGGTTCAATGCGGCGAGATATGATGTACAAGATACTATGAAGGTGTATGCTGGGGACTATGCGGCGTCTGGCCATTCAAGATTGCGCCAAACCGTGACACTCCCAAATATCCAAGGTTCCACCTCTCTTAAGAACGCTGCCAGCGACGCGGGCTAGGTTTCTTTTGCAACATTTCATGCATGCCAAACATCCTCAACTTGTCTGTAATTTTGGAGGAAGTTCTCCAGTGGTGCTGACGAAGGCCCTTGTTCTAATAGAAGTGCCTGTCCACACTTCAGTTGTTCACTCACTCTGTAGGCGGACGACGGCCCTAACTAAGGAAACTTGTTTAACGAAGAAACCCTGCCCACTTCCCTCTTGTACACCCCTTGGTGCTCATCCGTCGTTGACCGAATCCGTTCAATTGTATCTAGTGTGTAACGCGGCAGCATCACCTCCTTGCCCCCGTTATGAGTTCTTTTAGTGCTCATGCAACGCTTAATGCTCGTTGAAGAGTTGCCAATGTTCGACAGCAAACTTCGCAGTGGGATGGAACTTAACTAATTTGGTTGTTAAAATTAGACATCAAATGAAATAGACATTTGAGACAAGCAAACACGAAAAAAAAACAAGAAAAGACCTGCATGCGTGTGATGATATTGCAGGCCCAGGCAAACGGTCAAGCAGATGCGCGGAGCGATGTCTACCGGGAGAAATCCCTGGGAGACAAAACAGAAAGGCTCACCACAAATGATGTTACAGTCAACAAGCCATTCTGGAAGATGCCTGCAGATCCCTGTTCTCTTGCTGCAAGTCAATTTCATTAGGAATCTCCCTGACGTNTACTTCCACAGCTGGGGGGCGCGCGCCCGTCTTATATATTTCCAGTGCAGCAATCAAGCGATAAGCTAAGCTCAAAAGCATATCGGATCCGGTTCTCCCCATGCGATTTCGTGAAAGCAAAGTGTGGTCCATTCGGAATAAATTCACAAAGCGCGGCCACCACCGTCCAGCCTCCAGTCTTGGTCCCACGATATGGGCTGTACAGACCACGTAGTCAAACATCATGAGTAGACCCGCCAGCCTCCTACAGACGAGGAAAGGAGATCTCCTAGCCAAAGGAGGTGTAAGCCGATGGATTGCATAGTTGATAAGAAGTTCGCAGTTGTACATTAAGTCATCCGCATCCTCCGCACTCAATGACTCCTTCAAGAACAGCTCGCGCATTGTCAGGTACATCGGCATTGGGCTGTTCTGGAGAAGTTTTGCTGAGAACGCAGCATCTGCTGCAAAAGGTCTCGGAACAACACCTTTCGATAGTTCTGGAAGGCGGACGTAAGGATGCTTCTGAGGATCATTCACCCAACTGCATTCTGCCGATGGGAGAGCATCTGCAATAGATGCCGACCCGGTAACTGATTCAGTCTCAGTAACATGTAGCTCCGTCGTCTTTCGTTCTTTCTGCACGGTAAATTCCCCCCCAGGTGAGTTAGGTAACACCCCTAGAGCACCGGAGCTCAAGCTCGGGAAGTGGAATCCACTGGAAGACGGAGTGGAGGAAAATGCGTCTCTTCGGTGTCGTGCAACTTCACCCGATATCAAGTACGTAAGCCTAGCTACTTCCCTTGCTTCCGCAGCAGCCCCCCCAGAACTTGTGTATAACGTACCAGGGACAGTACTTGAAGGAGCCATTTCTCTGGAGCCTCTTGGTGGTTGAAACACTGCTGCTGAGTCGGATAGCATGCTGGCAAGCTGAGCTATTCTTGTCGCTGG